CCTGCTGGTCACTGGTGGCCAGGAAACTGTTTACATCTTCAGTTGCTAATGAAACAGCTTCAGCTTTCCACCCAAATATGGTCACTTCTGGTTTCAAGAAGCCGACACATCTGCAGCTGAGATGCACTCCAGAAATACAGCACTGAGGTCAGTGTGGCTAAAGACTGAATATTTTTTCTACCTGTAGGAAACTTCAGAATGCTTCATCCACTGCCGCAAAGATCATGATAAACCGAATAAAGAGGAAATAATCTGGATTATTTAGAGTAAAGTAGCTGAATGACACACTGGGTTATGCATGAGTCACATGCCGAGAATCTGCGCTGGATGCAGGTAAAGTTAAGAAACCGCTCTCACACTAAACCGACTTTGAGGAAAACCTTCGCCCTTAGCTGTGTTGGTAACGCCGATGCCACATCTACCTCAGATCTGGCTGATGACGTCTCTGCCTGCAGCTGGGGCACAAAGGGGCCCTGCTGAGCGAAGAAGCTGTAATTTCAGAGCCTGCAAATACTTCACAGGAAATGATTGTGGTAAGCCAAGGAAATGACACCAACTCTGCAACTCTCCTCTGTAACTTATAACGCGAGAGCCGGGCTTTGCTCTCTGCTCCTGTTGTTGGCTGCAGGTACTGCACGCCCCCTCTCTGATGACCTTTCACCCCGTTTGCTCGCCCACGGTTTGATCGCTCTTCTCCTGCACATTTCCATCTCGGCGGCCCAAACACCTGTTTGCTGTTTCTCAGCTCGGCCAGACGATATCTCATTCGGGATCGTGGAGACGTCTGCCCCGGGGAGCTGATGGAAGTGCAGCTTCTGCTCGCTCGTCTCTGCAGCACCTTACGTTGTTGTGCAACTGCAGTGAACCAGAGACAGTCATTTATAAGATGTCTGGCTCGCTGCCTCTGGTCACAGAAGCCGCCGCTGCTGCTGCTGCGTCCAGGACTGTGTGTTCTGGCCTGAGTGGATGAATTAGAGCTGCCAAGACCAAAATAACTCATTGATTCACTGAGCTCTCCCTGGGTCTGAAGCATTAACATCACCCAGAAGCTATTTCTCTCACTTGTTTGGAGCCGCAAGTCGTCCAGAGGTACCATTATCCAAGCCCGGCGAAGGCAAAACGACTAAACAAAGAAAGCTGTGGAAGCTAAAAGAGTTCTTACATTTTTAATTTCACGTAATAGACTTTTTTTTAAAAAATATAACAAACACCAATCTGCCAAGAGATTAAAAGCACAGGTGAAGTGCATAATTCATCTTGTGTTACAATTCAAAGGTATGCTACGGAAGAGGATAAGGGCCACTGGAAAAAAAAAATCTGAGAAAAAAAGTCAGAATTCTGACTTTAATCTTAGAATTCTGACTTTTTTCTCAGAATTCTGACTTTTTTCACCGAATTCAGGAAAAAAAAAAAAAAGACGTTCCCACTTTTTTTTTCCCCAGTGGCCCTAATCCTCTTCCGTAGTATGCAGGGAAAATCGGGTGGATGTTAATGTTAAACTTAACACTTGCCAGCTGTCTTTGAAGCACCTCTGGGCACTTATTTTGGCAGTTTTATTTTCAAGCATTTTCCTAAATTAACTTGAATTTTAATGGTGACCAGGACATAAAGACAACACCTATAAAATCACCAAATTTCTAAAAAAAAAGTCTGTTAAAAAGTTGCCGATTTCACCTTACCTCTAAATGCCACCTCCAAATATGACTAAATAACAATGGACTTTATATCAAAGATAGATGTAGCCACCACCTCTTTATTTTTGTAACCAGATGAATCGCCCCCTGCTGGCCACTACAAATACCGGAAGGCATGAGACGCAAAATCTGCTCGGGGAACAGTTTCGGCAGCAGGACAAAGAGCTCAAGTTTCTGACTTGGCTTTCACTTGTTTATTGATTTCACTTTATAAAAATAAAATTGATAAATCAACAGACATAAAGTGTCTTTTCTTATGCAGGTAAACAATAGTTTATAGTTAACTTTTGTGGTATTACTAAAGTAGTAAAGGCAACAAGTATAAATACTTAGGTTAGATTGTGGTCTTTGTGCGTTCCTGTGAGTTTTACTTCCTCGCTTTGTTGGCTCTCTTTGGTAATCGTCTGTCCCACCTGTGCCTTCTTCCACACCTGTTCCCTCTCTGCTCTCCTGCGTCCACTTGGGATATATTTACTCCTGAGCTTTCCCTTGTTTCCAGTCAAATAATCTTGTTACTCTTGCCTGTAGGCTTCCGTCCATTCCTTGGTTTTCTTCAGTTTTGATTTGTTAGCGTCTCTGTTTTCCTTTTGTTTCTATTTTAGACTTTTGTCTCAGTGTGTGGATTCAGACCTGAATTATAATTGCCTAATTTTGTGTTTTACTTTGCATTTGAACCTTAGTATGTCAGATATTTTTAGATGTTATAAAGCTCAGGGGTGCACATGAGCTTGAAAATCAAGTTTTCTACACTATTTATGATCAAACATTCAGATTTGCAGAGTCATATATTTTTGGATCTAAGGACAGCCACCGCTGTGCTTCAGGTGAAATGTTTTTGACCTTTTCAGCATGGATTTATTTTTCAAGTTCAAATAGTCGGACTAAAACAGCTTCTCTTTTTCCAGCCAGGCTAAAAACTTTGAGCCCCTTTTTTTTCTTCTCTGCCTTTGTGGGGCAGATTAACAGAGAGCACATCTCTGCTGTGGACAGACTCATTGCACCCTGCCTGCAAAACGGGAACCTTTTTAAAAGTCATTCTCCTTTCCCTGGAGAGCGCAGAGAGGAATGCAGTGAATAATAAAAACAGGGAGATTGCCTGTGAGTGCCAGTCTGTGAGAGCAGCGAGGATTTTTTAATGAGATTCTGAGATTGGAAGCTGAAGGGGGAGGCGGGAGTTTTGCTGTGCTCATGGACATCTCGCCGTTACGCAGTTCCATCTATCTATAGAGCAGCTACCCCTCAGGGAGCGGTTATAGTCACTCAGACTATAATGAAACACAGCGAAGAGGAGATGAGGAGAAAACAGAGGCTGTTTTCAGCTCTGCCGTTTATCTGATCAATTCACTGCACCTTGAAGCAGAGAAATGTGCTGCAGATTAGCCGGTGGCTCAGAGAGACGATTCTCACGGCCCGCACAACATCTGTAGCAGAGTCTTGTCCTCTACTCACCCTCATTACTCTTTGTGTCATGTCTAATGCGCTACAAGCAAAGTGAAGAATAGTTTGGCTCCTTCTCCACCTGCCCAGTCCCGCTCAATGAAATCCTCTCAGCTCTGTGTTTAATGTGATCAGATATGACTTAACGATGAGACAAGCATGCGATTGGATAAAAAATCAACCAGAACAATAACCTAAGGTGAGATTTTTATATTACTTAAATGCTGAGTCACGCTTCGGATGAATGAACCCTTCATCTAAGCGCTCAGTCTAGATCCTGGAATGATTAATCTACACCTTAAGATCCTTCTGTTAGTGTTTGCTCCCCATCAGTCTGATGAAGACTACGAGAGGCAGTTTGAAACAGTAGTTTCAACAATAATGCCTTTTTTCAGGGTTGTTGCACACCACCTATGACATAACCACTAGCTGGGCTTGCTGCAGAACGGCAGAAATGTGTCGCCACTCAGACAAAACCTCTGCATCAGTACTCAATGAGGAGTAAAACCAGTTGAAACCAGAAGCAAAGAAATCAGTTTTCCTCCGTATCTCCTGTGAATGTCTGAGCTCTTGTGCTGATATTAGTGCCAGACTTAGTGCCGCTATGCTGGCTTACAAAAATCAAGAGGTGCATGACACCAAGGTGCACCGGCAGTTGTTTTGGCACTTTTGGCCACCTTTAGACAAGGACATGACCTTCAGTGCTGCAGATATAGACCATGAAACACAACCGAAAGCCTTGGAAAAAGTCAACATACACTGTAGTTGACGGTTAATGTGGATGTTTTGTTTTTCTAGTATTGGGCTATACTAGTGTAGCTTTGCATAATTCACAGTTAGAAATAATCCTGACTGGAAGACACTGTTTAAGCTCCTCCCCCTTTAAAGCCAGATTTCTACTGGCAGGAGGTCTGAACAGCAGGTGGGTGGTGCTTGTGTGCATTATATGGCCATATTTGGGATATCCCCTTTCAGATGTCATATAGAGTCAATAGTATAAAATTTTTAGATCAGTGGGAAGGCGGAGCTTTTGGCTCACAGGGATTATGCAAACTAACCATGTTTAATATGAACTTCCACAAATGTAGCAGTGCATATGTGACAGAGAGTAAGGAAAGGCTCAACAGATCCACAAACTGTTTATATGGAGCAGGTAAAATTATGTCTATGCACGAATGTCTTCAGGGGAATGTGACTGGATAGTTTCTTAACTATCTGGTATTCCTCTGTAAGACTTTGAATCAAGCAATCAGCTGAGGAAGACAGTGAGATGTGGCCGAAAGCCCAAGAGGAGCTCAGCAAACAGGATTTATGTTGTAAATTTCACTTCTGACCTTTGAAATGAAAAAGCCGCCTTCAGCTGCTTTCTTATTCACAAGCGGTCACCACAGCAGGTCGCGCCGCATGTTTGATTTGCTGTGGTTTTTACACCGCACGCCAACCCCAAAGATGCAGGAGCCGCGTCCTCTCCCGGGACCTTAGGAATTTTAAACTAAATGTGTGCATACCATCTATTACCATCAGCCGACGGAGACCATGAGATGTATTGTACTGTAATATTTTTTAAGCAGCTTGGCGTAAAACTGGAGCCAGTGGTGTCTATTGATCAATACATGGACACAGTAAACACCTGAAAGTTTTTTCTATGCTCACATATAAATCTTATCATCTTTGCAACAAATATCATATTTGACATGAAAATATATACATTTTTTAAGAAAATATCACTATTTATCATCCAAACCCCTCTGACTGCTTCACTTCTTGGACGACATAAGGATGACAAACCCCTGTGGTGAAGAACAGTCCTTTACTTTGTGGAGAGCTCCACACACACACACACACAGACACACAGACACGGACACCGACTTGATTTACAAGGAACTTTTAACTGTCACATCCAGCAGGAAGACACAGAAACGACACTCTACAGTTATAAATGAAATAACAGGACATCTCATAAGGTGCTTCATAATATGCAATGGGAATGTTATGAAAAATGTCCACATGTTCCTACAGAGGCACCAGTACTGCATCTATATGTGTCCATATCATAATATAGAACAATGTACATAAAAATAGAGCAAATATTTACAGAACACAGACTATTTACAACATCTTAAACGGGCTTAAAGATGGAGAGTGACATACATATACTGCAAATATATATATATATTTTTATGGCAGATGTACAAACGGAGTGATGTGCAGGAGCCATGAGGGTGAAAATCACAAATGAGCCATCTGCAGCAACTGTTCTTTAAACTGCTGAGCGTGGTGCGACAGGTCGGTGACTCTGTCCACCATCTCCTGGATGGCGGCTGTGTTCGGGTAGTTCAGGGCGGCCGTTTTAGTCGCGCACACCACCGTCTTTAACAGGTCGCACAGCACGTTGCTCGAGTTCATCACCCTGTTTGCCACCTCAGGCACCGAGGCCTGCCGGGACAGCGTGTCCCCGATGAAGACCAGTTTGTGGGCGCTGAGGATCACGAACTTGCTGTGTGCCACGAAGATGCGGGGGGGCTGGCCGGCGCTGACGCAGCCGAAGAAGGCGTCCACGGCGCTGAGGAGCGTGACGAAGTGCTGCTCGCACTGCTCCGAGTAGAAGCTGAGCAGCTGGCGGTCCCGAGCGCACAGGTGGGCGGACGGGGAGAGGGAGGTGGAGGAGGACGAGGAGTCTGAGGGCGGCGCCGAGTGTTGGTGTGAAATCCACTGCGTGATGTCGTTCTCCACGGGTTTGCTCACTTCCTGCTCCAGCTTCTTGAACTGATTGATCTGTAGAAGCAGTACAGATGTGAGGTCAAAGGGCAAAGGTTTAGCTTTAAATACACATAATTATTTATAATGGAAAATATTTGAAGTGAACATTTAAAAAAAACATCAGGTTTAACCCACAGATTAAAAATGGGGGCAGAAAAAGATCAACAGAGTTCCCTTTATTAACCTGACAGAGGGAAGTATAAACACGTTTTGGAGGAAGGACGCGTGTCTAAGCTTTGATTGCACACTGATTGTTCATTTCATTTCAAAGCAAACATGTTTCCCATTTGGCTTATCCATTTTCTTAACCACTTATCCTCCGGTTCAGGGTCACAAGGCCAAATTGCGTTTTATAAATATGTAAATTTAAGCAGAAAAATCAACATAAAAACACTTTCCTTTTTGCAAAGCATTTTATGGCTTTTCTCCTTTTTAACAGCAAACTTTTGCTGTCTTAAAAGTATCAAACTGAGTCTCTGAGAAAATGTTTAATGTTAAATTTACTGGAAAACGCTGTTACTTCGAAGAAATTAGAAATTAAATGACCAAAATGAAACAGCCACCCTTTACATTTCATCCTAAAAATGTAGAAGAAATCAGTTTCACACCAACAATCCCACCACTGCTGGCTGCAACTCCACATCCACAAACGCCTTCGTATGAAAATAGCACCACGAGATAAGTAAAATAAACCTAAAACTCTAGACTCCATGTTTACATTTGTACGGCAGCATTTGTTTTATATATTTTTGCACATGTGGGTCACTTCAGGGCCGTGACCGCTCCACCTTGTAATCTGGCTGGCCTCCATCGAGAGAATGATGTTAGAATCAGATCTGAGCGCCGAGGTCTGCAGAGGCCTTCGTAAGAACCTCGAAGGGCCCCTAATCGCTCAGTGTTATCATCTGTTTTGTTTAAGACTGCGAGGTATTTCACTCCCCCGCACAGTGTGCGCTCCACCTGCGAGGCCCAAACAAACACAAAGCCTCACCTGTTCCTGACCCAGCTGAACTTGACTCTGCTTGATTATGTTTTCTTTCTCCAACAGCTCCTTCTGCTGCCGTTCAAAGTCTTCTTTGCCCTGAAGGGAGGTAAAAAAATGTTTTAAACAGGGTGAGAAACCAGACTCACGTAGGTCTGATCTTTGATACACGACACATAAATTCTTATCTGTTGGGTAAAGTCACTTAAAGTAAATAACTCTACTAACTGTGGATTTAATTGTTTACCTGCAAATGTACATAATCGTAGTCCTCCATCCAGCTTTTCACGCACTTCTCGCTATTGTTCATGTTGTCCTTGTCTGGGGTCGAGGGCATGGGGAAAGGTTTGGTCTGGCCCCCGTTGTTGTCGTTGTCCGACGAGGGGGAGGTGAGCGGGTGGATCACGTTCTCATCAGGCGTGCTGCCCACAGAGAAAGATCCGTCCACATGCGTCCGCCTGAACAGCAGCTCGGCGCTGCTGCCTATCGTGGAGGCCAGCTGCTTGGCGTCGTCGGGAACAGTCCTGGAGACCATGACGAAGCGGTCCAGGTCGTCGGTCTTGTTGTGGTGCCTTCCAGACGAGGCCAGGGTGTTAAGCGCCCAGCTGCAGTTTTCCAGAGCTTGGTAGATCTGCAGAAGGATCTGCTGTGAGTCCTCCAGGCGTCCCAGCTGCCTTCGAAGCTTACTGTGCAGACTGTTGTCTGACAGAGACGTAGCGTTCACCGCGGCACCTCTGCCAAACACAATGAAGTCTCCCAGACCGGCCCGGACTCTGTCCAGAACTGTGCGGACGTCGTTGGCGTGGCGTTCCATGAAAGGAAAAGTCCTCCAGTGAGGGGAAGCTGCCATTGAATGCAAATTCCCGACTGAGCTGTCCACTGCTTGCTGAAGGCGGTACAGCTTCTGGATGGCGGTGTCCACATCCAGAGCGAGGCGGCCCTCAGAGCTGGAGCCAGTGGAGGACGAGGAGGTGGACATGCTACTGCGCGTGCTGCCCGTGCTGGAGAACGACAAGCGGTTCACGCCGTCCGTCACGTCCGCTACTGCGCGAGCATCCTGAGCGGGGATGTCGTAGATGCCTTTGCTGCCGTCTCTGTCGGCGGGCGAGCTTCTGTGCTGGGAGGTCTGCATGACCCGCGGGATGTCGTACACGTCGTTGCGAGACCCCGCCCCTGAATGACAGGTAGGCGGTGGCACATCGTAAATGCCTTCATTGCCGTTGGTGTTCGGGTGCGGCTGATGAGCCGGAGGCTCCACGTTCGGTGGGAAGTTGTAATGTGACTGCGAGCTCTGGGCGGGCTTGGCGAGGACAGGTGGGGGTACGTCGTAGATGCCTTCCTGTTTGCTCTTGAGGGGCTGCGGGAAGTCGTAGTTCCCCTCCTGCTGGGCAGAGTTGGTCCTGCAGGGAGGCACTGAGTAGACCTGTGGGCGAGGACAGTAATCAGACTGTTATTATTTTTGTTAACATGTATATTATTATCAAACAGTGGAGCTTTCACCTAACCAGTGGCCTCACAGGACTATTTTTTTCCTTGTTGTGAAATCCCTGTCATCATACAAAATGCTCTGCTGCACCTCTACAGAGCATTTCATATCTCAGACATTCATTTATTTGCACTATTAGAACTGTGCATCCCACTCTCTTGCTGCTACCCTCCTAAACAGATGTGGAAACACCTGCGATATGACTCATTTTTTTTCCACCTCCTGCACACAAACACCTCCTCTGCACTCCTTCTGCAGTCACGTCGCGCCATCCGCACCTGAGAGGTGCTGTCACGCTTTCTCAACTTGAAAATGTAAACACTTATATCGCACTAGGATCGATCGTGCTTTGTGAAGCATCGACCGTGGGCTCTGAAAATAAGGGGCCTCTGAGGCATTCTTGGAGCTGGAGTGTGCACACGACTGCTTGGCCAGATGTGGATATAACAAATTCTTCTAAACTAAAGGCTTGGACGCATTTAGTCCACTTAATGTGAAAGAGTGCAGCACACAGCGAGTGAGCAAACATTTGCCTCTACAGTTGACAGAAACAGTCATAAACTGACTGACTGACTCTTTGCATGTGCATGCAGTCTCATAACAAAGTGAGGAACTATCACTGCTGCGGTACTGGTTTCCTAAAATGGTTTATGACATTTCAATTTTCAGCTTTGGCCTCTGAGGTCCCGTTTAAAGGCACAGCACTAAAATGTGCGCTCGGTCCCGCATTCGGGCCGACTAGTCTTCAGGGATTGGAAAGTCATCGACAAAGAAGGCTCCCCTTCCTAAAACACAGCTCGTTAAGAACTCACCAGAAAAGTGACATGTTTTAAATTCACGACCATCATAAGATTAGCAGTTAGAAACCTGGATTCCTGCAGAGGAGATCGTTTTCTTTTAATCCCCTCCCCCCGGGAGACTCGAGTTTATGACATTCAAAAAATGTGCTAAACACAGAATTTGGACTGTAAATGCACCTCAGTGGGTTTTTACTGGATGCAGTGTGTTTGCACAGCAGTCCTGCAGTTAGAGATTGAGGAAGTGAAAGACCTTCTGGCTTGGGGAGATACTATATTTGAAACCTCAAACTTTCAGCCTCTTGATTCCTTCCTCTAATGCAACGAAGCTTTCACCCTCCCTCGGGCTCAACGCAGCAGAGTGTGCGCTGACGTACATGGCACGGAGCACGATGGGAGCGCAACGGGGGCAATAAAACTGATTTCCATCAGCCTCCAAACGCACTCTTTACAGCTAGACAGGCCTGCCCAAACTGTAATTAGGAACGACGCAAATAACAGGTCCCAGCATATTTCAGGTTATTACAAACAAACTGGTGGCGCGCTGCCTGGTCAGCTCTGGTGAAATCTTAGAGGGTCTGGCAAAAGAAGAGTTATGTCCTTGTCCTTGATTTTTTGTTTTTTTCCTCTGCTGGCGAGTTTAAACACGGAGCCGTTTTGGTTAAACTCTCCTGGCAGGCGAGGCTTTCATTTAAACTGGCCGCAGGAATGCAATAAATATGATATTTGACGTATTATTCATTTAATATAGTCAATTAAGAGAAATTCTAGGAGCTGTATCAATAAACATAAAAATACAATTTTCTGGACATACGCAGCCTCGTTAATTCAGCTTCATGTGGCTTAAACAAATGGAGTGGCTGACTGATGTGCCCTTTCATTTTGCTTCTGGAAGTTTCTCTTACCCCTTGAGAGGTTGGAGGGATGTCATAGATGCCTTGTGACCTAGGGTCCATTGGTGATGGGGGAACATCATAGACTCCTTGGTTTCTGGCTCCGCCTTGCTGACCAGGGAACATCTGACCAGGTGGAATATCGTACACCTGAAAGAGGGAAGTGAAATGATCACTACGTGTTTCAGAAAAACAATCACACAAAGTTTGGTCTTCATATTATTTGACTGTAGCTGACTTGATCTGATTTTGTAGCACACTATTAGTTTCTGTTTGGCCGTATGTGGGATGTCTAGTAATCAGAAGGTCGCAGTTCAATCGCAGACTTCTCAAGTCCACATGCCAAATTGGCTCGGAGGAAAATACTACTCACCAAATTGCCCCTAAAGTCATTACATTTTTTTTATATATAGTTGGCAACAGTGGGAAGGAAAAACTTCCTTTTAACAGGAAGAAACTTCGCCTGAACCAGGCTGAGGGAGAGTTGGGGGTAATACTCAGTGAAGTTTGATTGTAATAGTTAGGAAGCATTAAAAGAAATATATATGAACATGTATGAAGAAGCAAATGTGACACAAAGTAAATAAAATCAAATTTAGTGCTCAGTCAAAGGTGACAATAAGTCACTGTTAAGTTAAAAGCTTCATATTTCTATTTGCACAGGTGCCTCGGTGCAGCGCTCCTATCTAAAGTGAGAGTTCTTTACCACAAAGGTGGCTGTAAGGCCAACTTGCTTTTGATTGGCTGGCCTGAGGTAGTCACATTAGTTACAACTGTTCGCACTGACAGCTGAAGCCTGGGCTTCTTTTCTGACTCGTACGTACGCTGGCCTCATTATTTGAATCTCCGGCTGCGTTTAGTGTCAGCATCCAGCATCACAACAAAGTTTGTATATATGACAGGAAAAAATGCACGATAAGTCCGTTTGATATGGTGAATAGTTATAGAGCAACACGGTCACTGATTGGAGTTTTTCTTTGCACAGTATTTTCTCTTTTTGCTCCATTTTTGGTCTCCACCAGCTGCCCTTCAGATGCTAAATGCTCCACTTCCATATTTTGCTAGTTTCCACCTGTCTGTCAGCTGTTTTGAAGTAGTTTTCAGTGGGTTTTTGGCTAAAAACAGAAGGCTGTTTTGGCTGAGAACAAAACTTAAAGAGCGGTAAGAGTTTATGAAAACGGTGAGAACAGAGACCAAAGCTGAAACTCACTATAAAGCAATGTGAAATTGAGGCTAACTGCACAATCAGGTGATGACTACCTGTAACTCCATCTCTGTAAGCAACTCGAGTTGTTTTCACACTGTACCTCGTCTGTAATTCTAAAAATATCTATTTGAGCATTTTAAAACAATACAGTACAGTTCTCAAAATGTGCAAACACTACTGCCGCACTGCAGGTTTCAACAGCATGAGAGAAAATGAAGTGTGAAGAATCCTCTCTCATCTCTGCACAGAACAGGAAATGTGGTAGGCAGAATAGCACGATGCAGATCAGAGAATTGGCTTTCTTGTTTTGAGAAATGAAATGCATTTGCCCAGGCACTGTGTGCTGCATCAAAAGCTCACCTGGATGGCTTGTTTTTAAAACGAAGATGCTTGATATGCGGTGAAAACATGCTAACAGATTCGACTGATATCAATGTGTAGGTAAACTAAAGATTATATTTGTACATTCTCAGATGCATGCAATATAGTGTTAAAGATATTTATCCATCTTATTTTTATGCTTGGCGTTTCCTAGTGTAGCTTTGCATGAGCCACAGTTCAAAATAATCCTTGTTCATAACTTTATCTGTACGTTGGCTCAGCCCCTCAGGTCATCCTCTTTTTGAAACCAGCAGCTTTAGCTCCACCCACATTTGCAAACAGAAGGTGGGTGTGGTTTCGGTACCAGAGATAACCATAACATTCTCTCTCTCTGACATCATACAGACCAAAGATTAGAAAAAAAGAGAGGGGAAAAACACTTCAAGCTGTGTTTTTAGTACAGCTTGTAACCTTAACGTATGCCTCACAGCTATTACTAGAAAATGACCTCATTACTGGAAATTAATGGGTTTAATGGCTTTTTTTGGTTTTGAAAAACAATAATTTTAAGGAGTTTTAGGAACCTATATTGGTTAATTTTAAACAAATTCCTTTATTCTAAGTCATAGAGTGCACTGTATTATTGGGTTCACTGTTTGGCAGATTATATCAAAGCTTCTTTGGTTGCTAAAAAAAAAAAAAGAAAAAAAAAGATCCTGGTGTTATGGTGCATGAGGAACCTACCCCTTGTGATCTGATGGGTGGGACGTCATAGAGGTCCTGCTGGTTATGCTGTCCTGGGCTGTAAGTGTAGGTCTGTCCCACTCTGGTTGGGGTCACCACCTGTCCGAAAACAGCAGGAAGACAAACAATCAGTTGTCGTCCAGGGTAAGAGGACAAATGCTCTGACTCACAACCTAGCAGCCCTGCTGCCACCCAACTCTCAAGCGTCTGTACATGCATGTGTGCCGACTTTTATTTGTTTTTCCTGTTTTCCATTTCTAGTCCCTGAATGACCCAGGGATAGTAAGTGATTACAGTCAAGGCAGATATTTTCTAACAACATCCTCCCTGTGCCAGGCTGTTTACAAAGGACCCAGGGAATGAAGTTATAAACACAACCCTGCAAAAATCTCCTTAGGCAGCTGTTTTGAAAGCATTGCAGGCACGGATGTATCTCTGGATTGAAAATGACTGGGGGCCATTTTCCATTGTCTATAGAATAGCAGCAAACTGCCCAAACTGCCCAAAACAGATTTCTAAAGACAAAAAGGTGACATAGATTTTACACCATTGTAAAATGACATGACAGCCAATTCAGTCAGTTTCCCTTATTAAAATCCTAACATGGTTACAAAAGTGCTGAAATATACCATAACAGCAACTAAGGTCATATATTTTAAGAAGTTGCGAATGGCTATGTTTGATCATGTAGCTTTCTAATTTTAAAACAGCGGTGTCTTTGTTTAGAAGCCGAAATAGTCAGGCCTAAAAAACAGCTTGAAAAACACAGTTAACATAAGCCTGCAGTACTAGCTAAACCAGATAAGGTTGCTAATGAGGATGTAAAACAGGCAACTACTAAACAGATCAATGGGTTATCTAAACATTGAGAAACTGCTTTATTATTTGTACCTTTGTTGTATAGTTTTTCTTTAAAAGCTTAAAGTTAAACTACTGATTATGAAAAAAAACAAAAAAAAACAGCAGCTAATATTAGCTTTTATTAGCCTGAATTAGCTTACTCATGCCACATCAAAAAAAATGCAACAAGAAGTATTTGAATATAATAAACTCAGCAAGGCTGTGTTTCTCATCCATAAACTTCCCTTTTTATTCCCATGAAGCATGCTGTGTAGTTCAGTTTATAATACTAAAAACAAAATTAAATACTAAGGAAAGGTTTTTAGGGGCACTAAAGTTAAGTAGCCTTAGCCTAAAGCTACTTCAAAATACCGTAAAAGAAAGTCTTGACACAACACTTCATTATAAAAGGGTTTATTTTTTGTTTGTTAAGATTTCAACTTTTTGCTTTAGTTTTCATAGAGATACATAACATGAAAGTAATGCTAGCTAATGTTACCCTGAAATAGCTACTTATTTAAAAACTGTAGGAGGGGAAACAAAATTATTAAACATATGAAACTGATTTTTGGCTCATATAAACAGTGAGAAATGCAATTTGTCCCATTAAAAATGTACAAAAAGAAGTTTGATTTTTTTGTTGCTTGAATTAACGCTGGCCATAGAGACTGGTTGGTAAACACTGCTATCCAGGGGAAAATGTATTTTGACTGGTTAGTACTGGAGGCAGTGGAGGTTGCTGCACAAACAACTTGTTGTTGTAATATAAGCTTTTCATTTCACTGTAACTGTTACTTATACCAGAAGAATTAGGCAATGGAAGCAAGACCAACTGACACATGTGAGATCGTTATATCTCTGCTCACTTGGAAAACACATATCCCACAATACTAGAGCTCAACTAATAAAAACTAAATAAAACTTAAAATAATGTGATTCAGTCAAGCAATAAAAATAGGTCAACCTTCAGCAGTGCTTTGGGAGAGTTTTTAGAATGGAAGATAGTTTTATAGCCGAAATGGCATTGGAGAAGGAATTTTATCGTAGTGCTGGCAGGACTGTGAGTTTCTAAATCCAGAAATCTCTGGTGAAGTAATCACCGGGTCACTGGTATTGATGAACAACACTCTTAAACTGAAGCATTTGGTGCTGTAGGATTTAATACACCTTTAAAATATTTTACACTGCGGTGTAGACAGGCTTAGGAATAATGGCACGATTACTGCTTGGGAAAAAAAAACGAAACAAAATACAAACACATGCTGCGAGCCTCACCTACGCCCTTGACATTTTTAACCCTGTTAATTATTTAACACATTTTTCCTCCTCTTTTCCCGTCAGAGGCAATCAGCTCCTTCACACCTCCTAATCCCCCCATTCTTAAACCCTCAGGCTGATTCACATCTCCTAAAAGCAGCAGAGCAGCCGACCTCCTTGATGCGTCAGACAGACGGAGGAATGCTGGGAATGTCCTTCCCTGAGCCCAGTACTCCTCTTTTGCCCCCGCGCAACGCTATCGTTACACTGGAACAAACAGGGTTCATTAGCAGGGCTCGAAAATAGGAACCATACGCACGGCTCCCTGGCAAAGGGCCGAGTCCCCAGGGACATGAAAGACCTCAGTCCCTGCATCCACTCATGAGTCACTTTATAGCACAATAATCTAATAGCATCTCTCGTCCTGAGACATTTATCGGAGCATGAGCAGTAGGAGACGTAACCTCAGAATGGGATTAGTGCTCCAGAGGAACTGGTTTGTAAAAGAGATTTATGAAAAAAGGTAACTCAAGTGGAAGAAAGGGAAAGAGAGGGGAACGGAAAAAGAGTTGCCTAGTATGGAAAGGAATGCCATTCATCTGACTAACAGTAGTCCATATGGTTCTTATGAATCCAATCTGAACAAGCCCGTGGTGATTTAAGGTGTTCACTGTTGGCGCTCGCGCCACAGCAGACATCATCCCGGCGAGGCCTTTGGGGTCAGAGCTGAAAACGTATACTGCAGGCTTTAAATACTCTCTGAAATAAACCAGAAGAGGAATAAACAGCTGCTTCTGGCTCTCCTCACTCTGGACTGATTATTTTTAAGGTTTTATCTGCTTAAAAGCATACACAGTCAAGTGGTGTAAACCATTTGTTACTGCATGACTTAGATCTGAAGTTTTCAAATCTGGGCCCCTTATTACTCTCAAAAACTAGCGATACTGCCAGCAGGAAAAGGGTTACTGTTAATTTAACACTTTGTTTTTGTTTTGTGGGCTCTTTTGTTCATCTTAAACCTTGGTATTATTAAATGTCAGCCTACTTAGCCAATACGGGTTCCTGTTTTTTTACAGTGTACTTTAATACTAAAGAAACCTAAAGACCTGCCTATTTCTAAAAATCTAAAATGTAACTTTGGATACTAAATAAGACAAAAAACTGTTTGGAGGGCTAGTGAAGTTGTGCTCTTTGACATATAACGATGTGCTGCCTGCTGGCTACCTCCAGTGTTATTGTTAGGTTAATAAAAACACATCAGGACAGGGAAGGTGGAGGACGAGAGTTAGATTGTTCTCTCCAATGGGGAGAGACAAATGCCATCGAAAGGCAGGAAGACGACACTGAAAACAGGCAAACCTTCAGCTAATAAAATGTCTGAGGTTATTCATTAGTTTATTGTACTGCGAGTTTTTAAAAGCTTAGTTTAAACACACGCTACATATAAATAGTTTTATTATTACTTTTAGAGACGACACCTAAATGGTTTTGGGGACTCGTGACTATTCAGACAATGAAAGACGAGAGCTTAGTGGAGCGCAGTAGCATCGGTTAAAAAGATTCATCTGGTTTATCTGATTTATTGTCTTTCTATTGGCCCGGCTTGAGAGCAGCTTTAATGCCTTTTCATATTTTCTATTTTCTGCCCAGTGAAAATGTGCTGAAATGTGAAAAGCAGTAGGCATATTAAATCTCTCAGAGCAACCAGACTCAGGAGATAACAAGCAAGCCTCCTGCTTGTTTAAAAGGTCACTCAGCCGGGCTACCTTCCCTCTGGGTTTAAGGGAAGCCTGGACCCAGCTGTCACATGCAGATGACAGCGAGGTTTCCGCTGAAGACCTCGGTGACCTTTTCTACAGGTACATGTCATCGCTCTGAGCGCCCATCAGTGGCTTCTTTCAGCCTCTGCCAGATGCACACTGCTCATTTATTTCCCTTCTGTTTACCCAGCAGGCTGTTGCTCTGAGGACACTTGGCGCGGCTATAATTGCCGCCGGGCAAATATTTACCACATCCAATGAGGTTGTCGCTTGCATGACGGCGGTGCGTGGCCTTTCAGAGAACGATGACATCACGAACAGCCGAGCCAAAAGGAGGGAGGGCGCTGAGCAAACATTTGTTCCCACTCAGGTGAGGGGAGCTCAGGATGCCTTCATGGACGATGAAGGGCAACGTCGGCGACTTAAACGAGCGGCAAGAGGAGGCAAATAGATGGCTTGTTAACACTCCTACGCGTTGTGGCGAGTGACTCATGTCTCTTTCAGCAGGACCCTGTTTACTTAGCCTGCTGGCAGGATCAGATTTTGGAAGGTAGACCTTTAAAGCTTTACTTCAGGGTCATTTGAGAGGTCTTGTCATAGCATCAACAACTACCTCATGGGCTTGTTATATACTCTCTCAGGTTTTATGTACTGATGGGCAATGAATTACTCTGTATATATGTCAGGTTTTACTGGTATTCACATCCTAAGATATAACCAAACTACTAACTACTAGCACATATTAATAGTTTGGTCTCCAAAGCATAAAAAACAAAGCTGGAGTAAAGTTTTAGGTAAACTATTAACAGTTTAGAGAATAGCAAAAGAAATCAGCTTGTTAAAATGTCTCTGTATTTCCTTCTCTTGAGAAAATGTGCTGCTACGGATTCAGATAAGGCTGAAACAGAGTATTTCTTCTCTAAAAGAAGAACAGATGTGGTTGGCAGGTAACAGGAAAGTAAAAGTATACGTTTTTAAGACCTTCTATAAAAGATCCATCTATTTTCTTAACTGCTTAACCAACTCGCGGTTGAAAGCAAGAGTCTATCTCAGTGGTCATGGGGGACAAGTGGGTTGCAGGTTACCTGTCCAAACAACTTTAAAGAACAAAATACACAATTTAACTGAGACCATACTTGCTATGCTATTTTAAAATGACTAGTAATTGACCTCAAGAAGATATCTTATTCCCTCTTTCCAGGCACAGACTTTAACCACCAGGAACAATAAGCTGGTTTTTAA